ATTGAATATTAAATTTATTGTTTATTATATATATGTATAATTTTAATTATTATTTTATTTAATTAAGGTCTTAAATTTTTATTGTTTTAAATTTTTTTTATTATATGGAAAGAACGAGAAGGAAAGAGAGAATTGTGGGAACTAGCACCTTATATCTGAGAATTGCACACCATTACATCAGATTCTCGTGAATTCTATTTCAAAAGAAAGTCTTCAAAAATCTTTCAAATTCTACAAAAGTTTATAAAAATTTTAAAATGAAAATTCATATGAAGTCTATGAAAGACTTCCACTAATTCAATACAAATATCTAAATAATCCACAAAATTTATAAAAGTTATCACTTAAAAAAAAGTCCACCAAAATTTTCAAAAGTTCCAATTGAATACACCACCCCTTAAATTAAGGCTTTTAATGAACTTTTGGGCTATTAAAAGTTCAGGGTATTCAATGTAAAAATTTTGAGACTCACTAAAAGTATTAATGTATTCAATTGAAACTTTTATAAACTGTTAATAAGTCTCTAAAAGTCACGGTTTATTCAATTAAGACTTTTATAAACTTTTAAAAAATCTCAAAAAATTACGGTGTATTCAATTAAAACATTTTAAAAGTCTCTATAAGTTTTGCTATATTTAAATTTTAATGACTTCTAAAGACTTTTGCAAAAATCTCTAGAGTACTAATATTTAAGCAGAAAGTACTCATATAAAAATTAAAATCTCAAAATTTGTCCATCATTAATCATGAAATTTTGGGAAATTTTCAGAACAAAAATATTTTTTTTTTTTTTTTGTTTATCTTTCTTCTCTTTTTCCTTCTACGAACATTAGAGGTATGATTATATTTATTTCAATTTATCTTTCTCTCTCTCTTGTTATTTATTTCTATTTTCTATGAAAAAATTAAAATCGAATTTTTGTAACTTTTTTTTTCATTCATTTTTGGTGAAAATATCTAATTTTTTACTAAATTAAAAAATTATACAATTAAATTTAAAAATATTAATTTTTTTATTTATTTTCAAAATTATATTAAATTTATTATTTATCATATATGTGTATAATTTTGATTATTATTATTTAATTAAGTTCTTAAATTTTTATTTATTTATTTTTATTATGCCCCCGTTTGACTCACATTCTTTCCAAATTTTAGTGGTTGGAATAGTGATTTTTTGAAAATTGTGTGGTTGAAAAAGAATGAAAAATTTTCGATTGCGTATAATATTATTTTATGGAAAATTGTGTGGGTAAAAATAAGAGATAAAAAGAATGCGAATAAGAATGGGAGCAAAACGGGGGCTATATGGGAAGAAGTAGTTAAAGGAAAAGGAGAATTGTGAGAGTCAATACCTCGTATATGAAAAATTCACACAATTTCTATTTCAAATGAAAGTTTTCAAAAGTGTATAAAAATTTTAAAATGAAAATTCAAAAAAGTCTACGAAAGATTTTCAATAATTCCATACAAATCTATGAAAGATCCAGAAAATCTCCAGAAGTCCTTACTTAAAAAAAAGTCCATCAAAATCTTCAAAAGTCTCAATTGAATATAACCTCAAATGTATTGTGTATGTTAACGAGGAGATTTGTAGTATCCAAATGAATTAAAACTCTCGTCAACTTTGTTTAGGATGTCAAGATTGTTTGAAATTCGTGGTAACCGGTGTAAAAATACAAATTTAAAGAAAAAAAAAAAGTATTTTGGAAGAACTAATATAAATTTTAAGAAGTGAACATTATTTAGAGAACAAAAAGTGTCGAACACATCTCACGGGTGCGCATTTAATTCTGCTTCTTTTCTCACTTTTTTTTGTGAATTTTCTCACAATGTTTTATTTCAATAAGGTATATGAATTAAGATTTAGAATCTAGAGAACTTTGATATATAATAGAAACCTATATTTAGGCCATGTTTCAGTCACATTCCTTCCAAAAAATAATAATAATTAATATTAAACAGTAATTTGACATCATTTCAACCACACGTTTCTTCAATAAAATAATATTACAAGCAATTCCAAAACTTTTCCTCACTTTTAACCACACATTCTCTATCAATCCACTATTTCAAAATACATTCTTTCAAAATAATGTGATTCAAACACACGCTTAATATTGAAGTTATTTAAAATAATTTTGCTGATATTTTTCACTGGCAATAATTTTATACCATTTAAGTAGATGGGCTAGAATTACAATATATGAAATGAAAGCTTCGCCTTCGTTTGGCAAGTTTTATAAATAATTTATAAATTGTCATGCACATTTTAATGGACTCAAGTACTTATTGACCATTCATTTCTCTCTATTTATAAATTATACCATTTATAAATTCTTCCCAAATGGAGACTTAGTCTGTAACATGTTAGTTAATGAATAGTACACCACCACCACTAGGGAAAATTATGTTATCATGTCACGATAATATCGTTGTACTTTTAGAAATAAGGACAATTATGAGACTGCCTTGTTAGAGCCTTTTTTTTTTTTTTTTAAAATCTCTATTTATAAATAACATCTTATAAAGAGAGGACCTTTAGATTTAGATAATACAATATATATATATATATATATATAATTTTCTTTGTTATATATACACACACACACACACACCAAATATAGTCCTTGTTTGGGCTTCATTAAAATCAAATTTTGAAGAAAAATATGTTAGAATAATTATCTAAAAAAAATATGTGATTAAAAAAAGAAGAATTTTATATTCACGTGTAATATTATTTTATTGAAAAAAATGTGATTGAAAAGAATATAGAGAAAAATACATTTTAAATAAAATGAAGCCTAAACAAGGCGCAATCTCTATTTTAAAAAGTTAAAATAAAATCTCTTGAATATGCTTTAATAAACTATATAGCATCTTGTTTTTAAAAAGTCCCTTGAATAAAACTCTTAAAATCATATACCTAGCTGGACTTGAGCTACAATAAATGGCACTGGTGTCGAGTCATTGGTGGTACTCTCTTTTCAGTTACACGTACAAGTAGGTAGAGGCATAGCCTATAAGCATATTACATGTACGATCAGGTAGAAATTGTCATGTAAAAAGAAAGACTTTTGATCTAAGTAGCATTGATGTTCAATGAATATTAAACTAAATACAAATTTAGGGGCTGTCTGGGCATGCTTAATAGTGTAATCCGGACTGTTGATAATCAAAATTTGAACCGTTGGATAATTTTTTAATGGGATATGTCTAACTTTGCAGGAAGAGCTGCAAGTATTTTACATACCTTTTCCAACACCCTCTTCATTACACTCTCAACCACCAACACCATTTCTCTCTACATTCATCATCACAACCACAGACTTCTCTCCCCAACAGCCCACGTACAAAAATGTTCCAGATTCGGTCTCAATTGTTTTCCTCTGTCAATTAGCGTTTTCGACAGCACAATATGTTTAGACTTCTCCTTCCATTCGGGGGTATTTTTATTCATTTGACAGTGACACTTGTTTCTACAATGTAGACGACTACAACACCTGTCCGCCGATTCCACATTTGGTCGCTCACACCACAGATCCAGATGTCTCCTCGGTAAGTGACGACAGCTCCATCATTTTTCTTGCACCAGCAGAGGTATCGGTTGTGACTGTCTCCAATTTTGTATAACAATCCGATGTTTACAGTTTGTTGTCGCAAATGTGTGATAAGGTATATTTTTCACCTCCAACACTCTTCTCAGCACGACCCAAGCACCGATGTGCAAGAACACCCAATGGAATCCACACAAGAACCGAATTTTCATTGTCGTGTGCAAGACGGTGATAGCTGACGATCACCATAACGAAAAGTGATTCACGAAACACGTATGGGACCAAGTCATCCGTCTATTCAACTCCAACTCCGGTCACTGTTGGACGAAGCAGCAATGTAAGAATCATTGGGACGATCTTCGGCAG